GTAATATTCAGCATTCACTATACACTATTCTGTTTCAAAATATGAAATAAAACATAAATTTGTGTGTGTGTGTGTGTATGTGTGCATGTGCACATGCATGCGTGGCACATACTAAGCATTAAACATGTCTTAATGACTTAATGCTATAAGGAGTTTTCACTTAATCCTCCCAAATCTGTGAAGAAGATATTTTTATTACCTACATTTACACATGAGAAAATCATATCATAGAGAGGTTAAACAAATTGCCTTGGTCACATAGTTCCTAAATGGTGGAACTATATGATTTGTGGAACTATGAGATTTGAACTCAAGGAGGTCAGATCTCAACTACTTCAATATTTTGCTCAGTCTCACAGCTGGTAAGTGGTAGAGGTAGAACATGAAACTATGTCTGACCATTCTTGACCACCTTGACATTAATAATTTGTGAGGGTCATAATTCATTGACTTAGAGAAAGCTCAGACAGCCTCTTTGTTCTGGTGGGAACTGAGTTCACACTGACCCCCCGAGACTCTCTGGACTATGCCTTATTCCTAAGCCTGTAGGTAGCAATTTTGTGACAGACAGACAGACAAAGTAAGATAAGCTAGGCAGTCAGAATTCCATGAATAATAATATCCATGCCCATCAGACTCTAGAGTAATGCTGCTATCAAAATTCAGATGTCGTAGTTTCTAAAGCAATTCTAATTTGTTCTCCAAATGAGTGTGAACTCTCCCTCCTCCAAACCCTCAGAGTATTTATTGGACTTTTTATGGAATTTTCCATATTCTTACTTACATTATGGTTACTGAAGGACTACTCTTCTGACTCCTTCTAGAACTAATGCCTTGAGAAATGTATGGTTAAAAGATGAATCTTGGTGCTGTATAAGAGGCACCTCCAAATAACAATGGCTTAAATATGGTGGAAGTTTGTTTCTCGCTCACATAATGATACAGCTGCAGAGTGTGGGGCTGGAGGGAGGCTCTGCTCCACAGTGTTATGCAGGGATCAAAGTATCTTCCATCTGTGGCTCTGCCATCTCCAGAGGACAGCCTTCAGCTGTCCACAATGGCTCAATGCCTTAAAAGGGGTAAAGGTGGAAAGGGAGGGCAAGCCTCTGCCTTTTAAAGACAGAATCAAGTTAAAAGTTCTATTATCATAATACCAAAGAAAGCAAAGAAAGGGAGAACAGATAATGAAAGAAAATTAGCCATCTCAAGTGGCCATGATTAGGAAATACATTCAGAATGATGTTATGTGCAGGCAGACAACATTTCTTCATTCAATAAAGATGAATAAAATGCCACTATAGTTCAGATCCAATGCAAGGTATTTATAAACAATGGATGAATAAATGAATAAACTCCTTTTCTGGAGAAAAAAAAATCCAGAGGTCATGCCTCCAGATTTTCATAAGGGCAAATAATTTAAAATATGAACACAAATAATTTCTTCCCAGAGAAGGCTGTAGATACAAACAGATATATTTTAAGCTGAATTTTTTGTGGCTTGCTGAAACATATGGAAAATCAATTATAAAGTAAACAAACAACCCTGATTAATCAGGCTATGCTGCCACAAGCAAAAATATGTTAGAGAGTCTCAGTCCTGAATTTTCACTTCAATGACTTTTTCTGTATTTTATTCTGAAACATATTTTTATTTTTCCCTGTACAAAACGAAACACACAAATTGTCATTTATTGCATTTAGACAAATATATGGGTCCAAAATTGAATTTCTTCTGTGTCTTCTGTAAGATAAACACTCAGGGGATTTCATCTGGGAGAGGAGCCAAAAGTCCAATTCTAATTTATTATTATTTCTAAATATTACAAAAACCACCACATAAAGCCTTTAATAATAATGTGGGTTGAGCTGCCACTGGAATGCATCTCTGTTGTCAGACAGACATCACCAACTCAGCTTTTCTCATTTCCCAAATTCCATTAAGATTTATCTCCGCCATCTTCCCAGATGGTGCCATCACCGTCTCCACCTCTTCCCATCATAAAAAAAAAAAAAAAGTCCAACAAATGTTTTGCACTTAGCATTTTAACTAAAATGCCGATAGTAATATGAATAGTAATACCAAAGCATAAATATTTTAAATTCAAATGTTAAGAGATGGTGAAAGTTTTGCACTGAATTCAAATGAAGCTTTATTTAATTGGAATAAGATTTTCAGAACTTGGACTTTAGGTTTCAAAGAGGCAGAGGCGAGTCTTGGGAATTTATATTTTCTTCTCCTGTGTTGTTAACTTGTGATGTTTTTCTCTACTTCATTGTTCCTGAGAAGCCTGAGTTAATTTCTCCTTTTACTCCTTGGCACACAGATCTGCTATACTTACACACTGTGCTATTTCCCAGAGAACAGCTGCTGCGCCCAGTCCAACAGCTTTCTTTCCTCCAACTGCATTGGGCTTAATAACAAGGAATAATTCCTAGGTAGCAGCAAATTCCTTAATAAAAAAGAATAATTCCTGGGCAGTAAGCCTTCCCCATCTAGGGGAAACAAAGCATTGTCCCTCAGAAAGAATTTTGCAACCATCATTTTATGTAACTGAATTTAATATACGTTTATTTAGCTATTGCAGGGAAAGTACTTGGCAGTTGGTCTGGCAAATAGTTACTATTGGCTTAAAACTTACTATAATTAAGGCAAAATTCTAAGTCCACTGAGGAATACTGCAACTCATTGGCTTATTAAAAATACTCATAGATCAATAACTATCCATTTATTCATTTAACATATATTTATGGAGCAAGTACGAAGTGCTAGACATCACATTCTGTTTCCAAAACAAACATGGCCCCTATTTTCAGGGATCTTCCAAGCTAGTGGGGAAGGCAAACAACCAAACATTTGCACAAATGAATGTAAAACTAATTGTCAAATTGGAAAAGTGTTATAGCTCGTATAAAGCCTGGGTTTCTGTGGCTCAATTTCCTAGCAGTGTCACAGTCAAAGAAACACAATCTAACAAATAAAAATAATTTCAGTAGGGTTCAGATCTCTGTCAAGGCCATGAAAAACAAGGAAAGACTGAGAAATTGTCACAGACCAGGAGACTGGGGAGACGTGAAAACTAAATATAATGTGGCGCCCTGGATTGGAACAGGAAGAAGATATTAATAGAAAAACTGGTAAATCCAAATAAAGTCTGGAGTTTGGTTAATGAACTACATATTTTGGTTAATGAAATTGACCAATGTCAGTTTCTCTGTTTTGACAAATGTGGCATGGTAACGTAAGATGTTAACAATGGTGAAAATTCGGTAAGGGATATATAGAAATCCTCTCTACTATCTTTGCAACCTTTCAGTAAATCTAAAATTATTTCAAAATAAGAAATATATTTTTTAATTTTTTTTATTGAGATGGAGTTTCACTCAGAGTGCAGTGGCACAATCTCAGCTCACTGCAACCTCCACCTCCTGGGTTCAAGTGAGTCTCCCGCCTCAGCCTCCCAAGTAGCTGAGATTACAGGTGCCTACCACCAGGCCCAGCTAATTTTCAGTATTTTTAGTAGAGATAGGATTTCACCATGTTGGCCAGGCTTGTCTCAAACTCCTGACCTCAGGTGATCCACCTGCCTTGACCTCCCAAAGTGCTGGGATTACAGGCATGAGCCACTGTGCCCAGCCTAGAAATATATATATTTTTTAACAATAGCTAATAACTTTACTTGAGTTCTCAAAAACTCATAGTGGTAAATAACTATTGGCCATAGTAACACTTATAAAAATCTCTGTGATTTATTTCTTATGTTAGTTATCTATGGCTTCATAATAAATTAACCCCAAACTTAGCAGCTTGAGATAACAAACATTTACTATCTCAGTTAATATTATTCCACAGTTTCTGATTATCATAACACTGGGAATGGCTCAGCTTAAAAAATCTTCAAGGTTCAGCTGGGACTGGAGAATCTAACACCAAGCTCACTCATGTGGTTGTTGGCAGCCTCAGTTTCTTGCTGGTCATTGGCTGGAGGCTTCAGTTCATCATCCTGTGGGCTTCTCACATACAGCAGCCTTATGGCTCCAACCTTCATCTCCTGGGTTCAAGCAAGTCTCCTGCCTCAACCTCCCAAGTAGCTGAGATTACATTTTTTGTAATGGCTGCTGGCTTTTCCCGAAGTAAGTGATCTGACAGAGCAAGAATAAACATGCAAGATAGAAGCCACAATCCTTTCATCACCTAATCTCAGAAGTGACAAACCATCATTTCCAACATATTCTACTCGTTAGAGGCAAGACACTAAGTACAGCCTTACAAACAAGGAAAGAGAAATTAAGATCTGCCTCTTAAAGGGAGCAAAATCAAAGAATTTTGTTTTGTTCTTGTTTTGGTTTTGATGTTGGGGGGGTTTTGTTTTTTCAGATGGAGTCTAGCTCTGTCACCCGGGTTGGGGTGCAGTGGCATGATCTTGGCTCACCACAACCTCTGCTTCCTGGGTCCAAGCAATTTTCGTGCCTCAGCCTCCTGAGTAGCTGGGATTCTGGGTGCAGGCCACCACAGTCAGCTAATTTTTTTGTATTTTTAGTAGAGATGGGGGTTTCGCCATGTTGGCCAGGCCAGTCTTGAACTCCTGATCTCAGATGATCTGCCGGTCTCTGCCTCCCAAAGTGCCGCAATTATGGGCATGAGCCACTGCACCTGGCCAAATAATTTGTTTCTAAAACTACCACAACTCTACTCCCCCCAACACTCCTGCCAAAATCACAAAATATGGTACAAAAACTATCATAAAGTCACAAAGAAAAGGGAATCAGAGAAGACAGCAGCAATAAAAACCCAGAACTGGGAAATCAGGAAATTGAATCACACTTAGAAGATACAAGGAAGCCTAATAGTGAGCCAACAGTGGGGAAGCCAGGAGGCCACATAACGTGCACCTCATAATCTTAATGCATCACACCAATCAGCAGCACCGAGTACTTCCAGGAATGGAGTAAAGGAGTAAGCTGAGAATTCTGGGACTGGTTGGAAGCCTATTTAAGAAGTAGTTTTCCACTGGCTTCAGCAGCACACATACTAAAATGGGAACAATACAGAGAAGATTAGCATGGCCCCTGCGCAAGGATGACACGCAAATTTATAAAGCATTCCATATTTTTTTTTTCTCCAGTCAACATTATAACTGAAGTAAAGCCTGTTGAAATGTACCATGAAGCTTTGAGTTAAGCTCTTTCGGGGGACAATGTGGGCCTCAATGTCAAGAATGTGTCTGTCAAAGATGTTTGTCATGGCAACGTTGCTGGTGACAGCAAAAATGATCCACCAATGGATGCAGCCAATTTCACTGCTCAGGTGATGATCCTGAGCCATCCAGGCCAAATCAGTGCAGGCCATGGCCTTGTACTGGACTGTCACACAGCTCACATTGCATGTACGTTTGCTGAGCTGAAGGAAAAGATTGATCGGTGTTCTGGTAAGATGCTGGAAGATGGCCCTACATGCTTGAAGTCTGGTGATGCTGCCATTGTTGATACGGTTCCTGACAAGCCCATGTGTGTTAAGAGCTTCTCAGACACACTATCCTTCTCTGGGTCATTTTGCTGTTTGTGACATGAGACAGACAGTTGTCATGGGTGTCATCAAAGCAATGAACAAGAAGGCTGCTGGAGCTGGCAAGCTCACCAACTTTGCCCAGAAATCTCAGAAGGCCAAATGAATGTTATCCCTAATATCTGCCACCACAGTCTTAATCAGTGGTGGAGGAATGGTCTCAGAACAGTTTGTTTCAATTGGCCATTTATGTTTAATAATAAAAGACTGGCTAATGATAACAATGCACAGTAAATCCTTCAGAAAGAAAGGAGAATGTTTTGTGGACCACTTTTTTTTTTCACGTGTAGCAGTTTTATGTTATTAGTTGTTAAAATCAGTACTTTTTAATGGAAACTTGACCAAAAATCTATCACAGAATTTGAGACTCATTAAAACAAAGTTTAATGAGAAAAAAAAAAAAAAAAAAAGTTTCAGCATAAGTCCCTACTTCTTAGGTATAGGCTGAGCCTAGTGACTTCCTTCCAAAGGACACAGTATGAAAAGAGGAAACAAAAGAGTAACTTCACAGTGGAGAAAACTGACAAACGCCCTGTCAGCTAGGAGATGAAGGCCAACATGGACAGTCACAAGTCAACATCACCAATCATGACATGATGTGACGAAAATGGCATTTAGGCCTGGTACAGTGGCTTAAACATGTAATTCCAGTACTCTGGGAAGCTGAGGTTGGAGGGTCACTTGAAGCTGGGAGTTCAAGACCAGCCTGGGACACATGGCAAGACCTCATCTCTACAAAATTTAAAAATTAGCCAGGTGTAGTAGCACACCTGTAGTCCTAGCTATTTGAGAGGCTGAGGTGGGGAAACTGCTTGATTTGAGCCCAGAAGTTCAAGGCTGCTGTAAGCCATTGCACCACTACACTCCAGCCAAGGCAACAGAGTAAGACTCTGTCTCTTTAAAAAAAAAAAAAAAAAGAGGGAGGGGGTGTATTTTATCTCTTGGGTCTTCCTCCCAATAACCCATAACCTCAGTCTTATTGTGGAAAAAATATCAGATAAATTCCAGTATAAAAGCAGGGCATCCTACAAAATACCATACCAGTATTCCTTAAAACACTCAATGTCATAGAAAACAAGGAAAGTCTTAGAGACTGTCACAGCTAAAAGGAGCCTGTAGGGACACAACAGCTAACTGTAATGCAATATCCCAGATGGGATCCTGGAATGGTAAAAGAACATTAGCAAAAAACTAAGACTATAAAAATAAACTATAGACTTTAATAATAATGTGTATGTATTTGTTCATTAACTTAAATGTGTTTCATCAATGTAAGATGCTAATAATAGAAGAAACTGGCCTTGGGGTATATAGGAACACTCTGGGGTACATGGGAACACTCAAGTCTAAAGCCAGTCTGAAAGAAAGGGTATTTACAAAGAAGAAGGTTCCCCAGATGCTTTTCTCAACCAGGTGCCTCCCAGCAGATGCCTCTCTCCCACCCTGGCAGAAAATGGGAGGCTTAGTCACTGGAGTGAGGAAAACAGACCAAGGCACCAACCATAGTTGAGGGTCAGGGTATGCTACTAGAAATAGTTGAAGTAAGATTTTACACATTGATGTTTAAATACCCAGCCCTACTCCCTGACTCTGAACCCAGCTTTTTTCCTGAACCCAGGGGAAACCCAGCTTTCTACATTCCAAGGAGATTTTAAAATTCTTCTCTGGCCAATCCAAGAGAAAAGACTGAAAGGTGTTGAAATAGTGAAAGGAGTTAGCCAGCTTGCTTTAGGTAGACAGTAAGAGAATCATCCCTCAGAGAACCTGCGACCCGCCCTACAAGTGTTTACACAGATAAAGGAACTTGCACAGGGGACTATGTGTCTACATGCATGCTGAGGAGATGGGGTGGAACCACCAAAATTTGTGCCTTATACAAATAGGGAACCCAGCCCATCAGTTGGATATATAAAAGCCCTTGAATTCAACTGTGAAGGGGCAACCGAGAACCTGCTTTCAGGACCCACTCTTTGCTGAGAACTTTCCTTTCACTTAATAAATTCTACTCTGCTCACTCTTCAATGTCCATGTGCCTAATTTTTTCTGGATATTAGATAAGAACCCAGATCTGGCCAAGCTAAAAACAGAAAAATCATACATCATTTTGAAAAGAGGAGGAATTCCCCCAATGAAACAGCCCACTCTATGAGACATTGATCACCACCTGCAGAGGTCTGTCCTTGCAGACCTTGACTCAATGACAGATGAGTGAAATGCACTCACACACACCAGAATACAGTGAATCTGAGTGGGCAAGGGATGGTCATCAGCTGCTTTCAGAGGGTGATTGCAGCTAACCAATCATGACTTGCTGCTTCTCCTCACATTTGTTTGGTATATATTTAATAATAGAAGTTCTAAGTCAATAGCTTGTAGATAATTAACATAGTTAAAAGAGTGGTTTTACAAATGATAAAAGGTCTTGGTTCCAGGGCCCAGAATCAATATCATTAATGGGTAATTCCCCTTCAACCTCCCCCTGAGAAGACCATCCAGCACAAAGTTTACATGAATAAACAGAGTAGAGCCAAAGGAATGTGGAGTAAACAGACTTAACTCTGGAAGCTTTTATTATCCTAATCCTTTACTCTATGACTTAAAATTCTAACCTAATAAACTATCTGCCTTCAGCCCTATCCATTAAAACCTTTCTCTCTCCCAAAAGATTTGAGACTATAATCTTCTAACTTTCCCTAATATTTCCCTAATATTTTTTCAGCCACCCAAGTGAATCCTGACACCTCTATGGTATGGCTTAAATTCAACAAGCCCAGTCCCACACATGGGGTTTTTAATGTCTCAATCTTAAAAATAATTACCAGGTATTTGAGGAAATCCTTAACAGAAAGAGAACAAAAATAACAAAAGCAATTTAAAAGAAACAGACACCACAAAGAACAAAAAGTCTTCAGAAACAGACACCACAAAGAGGAAAAAGTCTTCAAAGCTAGATTTAATTTTTTCAGTAAAAAGAGAAAATATTATCCCAATGAAACAAGAATAGGATGCAATAAAATACAAACATTAAGAGAGGAAATATTGAATTCCAGGATACTACCTAGGAACTGAAGAAGAAAAAAAAAAAGAGAGAGAGAAAATATAGGCCAGGCCTGGTGGCTCATGACTGCAGTCCTAGCACTTTGGGAGGCTGAGGCCAGAGGGTCACTTGAGCCTAGGAACTAGAGACCAGCCTGGGCAATATAATGAGACCTCGTCTCTATGGGAAAAAGCCAGGCATGGTGGTGCACGCTGTGGTTCAAGCTACCCAGGAGGCCGAAGTGGGAGTATTGCTTGAGCCCTGGAGGTCAAGGCTGCAGTGAGCCATGATTGTTTCACTGCCCTCCAGCTGGAGGTGACAGAGTGAGATCCTGTTTAAAAAACAAACAACTTACAAAGAGACTTAGACTCCCACACAATTATAGTGGGAGACTTTAACACCCCATTGTCAATATTAGACAGATCAACCAGACAGAAAATTAACAAGGATATCCAGGACTTGAACTCAGACCTGGACCAAGCAAACCTAATAGACATTTACAGAACTCTCCACCCCAAATCCACAGAATATACATTCTTCTCAGCACCACATCACACCTACTCTAAAATTGACCACATAATTGGGAGGAAATCACTCCTCAGCAAATGCAAAAGAACGGAAATCGTAACAAACAGTCTCTCAGACCACAGTGCAATCAAGTTAGAACTCAGAATTCAAAAACTAACCCAGAACCACACAGCTTCATGGAAACTGAACAACTTGCTCTTGAATGTTGACTGGATAAACAATGAAATGAAAACAGAAATGAAGATGTTCTTCGAAACCAACGAGAATGAAGACACAACATACCAGAATCTCTGGGACACATTTAAAGCAGCCTCTAGAGGAAAATATATAGCAATAAGTGCCCACATGAGAAGCAAGGAGAGATCAAAAATTGACGCCCTATCATCAAAACTGAAAGAGCTAGAGGAGCAAGATCAAAAAAACTCAAAGTCTAGCAGAAGACAAGAAATAGCTAAGATCAGAGCAGAACTGAAGGAGATAGAGACACAAAAAAACCTACAAAAAATCAATAAATCCAGGAGCTGGTTTTTTGAAAAGATCAACAAAATAGACAGACCACTAGCCAGATTAATAAAAAAGAAAAGAGAGAATAACCAAATTGGTGCAATAAAAAACAATAAAGTGGATTTCACCACAGATTCCACAGAAATTCAACCCATCATCAGAGATTGTATTACAAACAACTCTATGCACATAAACCAGTAAATTTGGAAGAAATTGATAAATTCCTGGACACTTTCCTCCTCCCAAGCCTAAACCAGGAAGAAGCTGAAACCCTGAACAGACCCATAACTAGGTCTGAAGTTGAGGCAGCAATTAAGAGCTTATCACCCAAAAAAAGCCCAGATCCAGATGGGTTCACAGCTGAATTCTACCAGACATACAAAGAGGAGCTGGTACCATTCCTTCAGAAGCTATTCCAAACAATACAAAAAGAGGGAATTCTTCCCAAATCATTTTATGACACCAACATCATCCTGATTC